TCTCTCTCTCTCTCTCTCTCTCTCTCTCTCTCTCTATCCCCCCACCTCTCTCCACTGCTTTTCCTTCTCCCCTCTCTTGGTTTCTGAAAGATGCTCCAACTGCTGCCACGTCATCAGCCCTGGGGGAGGGGGCATCAAATAATCTGTCATTTATTTAGCATTATTCCTGTTTTGTGTTATTTTATACAAACAACATGTCTCTTTTCGATTTAAAAAACACCTTCGTACAGCAGAAACAGACACGATGGATCCATGGAAAACAACAGAAAGACGGCAGTGCCTGGAGCATCAGATGCATGCAGGGTTTCGTGCATTTGGCTGCTGCCTGTTTGTAATTTGTTACTTTTTTTTGAACGTCAAAACGGACACGACCGTTGCTGTTACTCAGGCACTCCAGAGCTGCTTGCTAAGAAGATATTGCCCTCCCGCTGAGTATCTCCAAAAGCTGCTGCAGCCAGGAAAAAGGTAGTGTCCACCCAGAAAGGCGAAGAGAGAATGAGGTGGAGGATGGAAGGGAAATAAAAGTCAAAAGTTAACGGAGGAATTTATACAAAACAATTTTCCCACAGGCTCATGAAAACAGGCAAAAAACTATGCAGCATGGTAGTCCGGGAGAGTGAACCCAGGAACACAAGAGAAATAAACCATTCCCCCCACCCCACACAAGTGCAAAATAAACCTGGGCTGGGCAGGGGAACAGTAAGAGGCAAAATACACCTTGCCCTCTCCATTGTGCTCCAGGTTGGGAGGATGAATCCCAGTGGTAAAGCAAGATGACATTCTCCTGAGCTCTGAGGTTGGCAGAGGGAATCCTAATTAACCCTCCTCACTTGCTGCAAGATGAATCTCAGCACTACAGTGAGATGGGAGGTTTAGAAGGTTAAATCAAAAGAACTGACAGACTAGGTAAGACCCAAGGTCCATCTAGGCTAGTATCCTGTCTCCAACTGTGCCCAGTCACAGGCACTTCAGAAGACACTGCTGGAAAATCCCAAGTGGGTGGTTATGGGGCGACTGGCCACAAAGGAACACTTTCTTCCTCACCCCCAGCTGAAGTCCAGCTCTTACTGGGGTTAGGAAGACTTCACACTCGCATTTCTATTTTAACTGGCTTTTAAAATTCTTTCTAATGTAACTCCAGACAGTTGCATTATCTGTACCTGCCTCATTTTTTCCCCAAGTCCCACCAAGCTCTTGGCCTCTGTGGTGTCTTCTTGCAATTATTATTACAGGTTAATTGTGTATTTTATCACTTTGATGTTCTTCAATTCCATCACTGACCTCAGCAGCCTTATACTGAGAGACTAACTAGGATTTCTTTATTTCCATTCTCTCCACTAGTCTTCAGTTTGCTTCTCTTCACCACATCCTTTCTTACTCCTCAAACAGGCAATCTCTTCTCATGTGCCCAGCCATCCCTATTCCTTATCCTCTTAGTTCTTCTGTGTCTTTTATAAGGTAAGCTGGTCAGAACTGAACTCTGAATTCCAGGTGAGGGCTCCCAACTGATTTATATCACTGCACTGCAATATTTTTAGTATCTTCTCCCAGTCCCCTTCTCCTCCAGCCTAAGACTTCACTGCATCGCTCCAGAACAAGCAGATGTTTTTAGGAAGTTGTCCCCACTGATACCCAGGCTTTCTTCTGAGGGGTTACACTTTGTTTGGAATCCATAGAAGAGTTGGGTCTAGGGTGGAGGTTGCCCTTATGGTGAAAACTGATGGAAATAAATCATTCCACTTCCCTGCAAAGCCCTTATCCTCTTTGTTGCTTCCACTAAAATCCAGTGGACCCACAAATGTTCACAAAGGTTCTTGCCTTAACATTATTATTGCTTTTGTATCTTTGGCTCTTTCCTCTTCAGAATCTACCTTGGCCATCCCAATATCCATGACACAAATTTTGGATATAGTTTATGCCCCTTTCTACTGCCTTTGGTAGGGTCAAATCCCTCTAAAACACACAAGACGGAAACCTATGTTTGACTTAATCCTAAGCAACACACTAAGTTTAACTAGTTCAGCATCCCCAGGGAAAAATAAGCCTTGCCTATTGACACTGAAAATATTAATTTTTTTTCTAAATAGGAGGAGCTAGTAAAAAATATCCTACTATTCAGAAATGTAGATCCTAAGACTCAGCACGAGAGCTATAAAAGACCAGAAGCCTGCATATTCCAAAGAGAATGTGGGAAGGCAAGAAACCGGCCAGTGTGACTAGATAACATGCTGCATAAGACTATTTGGGCCAAATGGTTTCAGAACCAAGAAACGATTGTTTCAAGGTGTTGCCTTTATAGTCAAACCTTGCCTCCCTGTGATGCTCGACTAACTTACAGGTGGGTATTTTAAAGTCCTCCAATATTCCTGTTTCTCCATATTTGTTTTCCTATTATCTCTCTCAACATTGTGCACTGGCTATCCTTTTGCTGATCAGAAGGCTGATAGTAAAACTTAAACCAGTCCATCTATATTCTGCGACTTGGGTTTGTGCCTTGTAGATTACATTTTGTGGTCTCGTTTTTGAAATTCTCTCATAAAAATTCTAGGCAATCATTAAAATCTAAAGCAACTTCCTCTCTCTTTGACAGATTCTGATATCATCTGTATTCATAGCCAACTGCTAAAATATCATACAGGATCTGAGCATTTCATCATGTTGCATCAAGCACCCCCTGCTGTCAGGCACTCTCATTCACACATTTGTGGTTTTTATGCCTCTCTCAGTTATACAGGCATTCTGAGTTTGCACTGGAGGCTGGACCTTCTCAATCTGACATCCTAGAAGATCCCTATAATTTGCTTTGGGGGTCACTACTGCCCTTACCTACTTCAATCTGAAATGTATTCTTGTGTTTTAGCAGATTCCTTTGCCTTTGTGTTACTGACATTGCTAGCATATGCCTGTCTCTGACCTAGTTTGTACTCAGCATGTGCCATCTTTTTCCCAGCTACTCAGACTCCAGTTTTGTGGTAGTCTGGCACTCTACACTTTTAGTTATAGCATGACCAGACAGAAAAAGATGAAGACCCTCCCAGTACTCAAGGATCTGGGAAGGTGAACCCAGCACACTACAAGGTGCATCCCTTTCATGCATGCCTTCACCAGTTTATCTGGTCTATAGCCTTAGGTTAGTGCCCTGAGGTTATTGTGGCTTGGAGGCAGATACAACTGTCTCCATCTGCAGGTACGAGCTTTCTCAGTGTAGCACCCTGAAATCCCCTGCATGGCGCCAGACTTGCAGAGGTCATGACTCCAGTTTATCAGCAATGCTCAGTGATTTTACCATGTCCTTATAATGTCTACTCAGGGAAATGAATACCACAGGGAGAAGGGAGGATTTAAGTGCTCTGCCTTGTTGGGTCAAGGGAAACATTTCCCTATCTTAACTACTTTTTAGGCAGCTCCACTTTGTCTGTGGCCAACTAGAGAATGGTCACTAATCTAAAAGGCCATTGAACATTCTGGGCCACCGCTGACAGCAGAGTCAGCTACATCCATGGAAAACAACCCTCCCTCGTGGACCATACCTGTGTTTGATCCTCACTGGAGTGGTGCTGCAGGGGCCCCAGAGCAGTGATAGTGGACGTTCAGCCACTTGCCATCACGACGGTGCCAGACACGAGTCTCTTCAGACTGCGTGGTGCGGGGCCGGCCCTGACCGTCGATGTACTGTGTCAGGCGGATATAGGCAATGCACGCTGCATCTTCACCAATGACATGGACATGAGGGTTCAGGATGGTCGTGTGGATTGGCTTGCTGTTCTTTGACAATACTGGCAGAACATAAAAATCTATCAGTTTCAATTCCCCATCGAAAGAAAGTCTTCTCCTCAGCATCAAATCTGCTGCTCCCAAACGTATCCTAGGATAGAGCAACTCCTTCTCTTAAAAGCCCTCAGAAAAAAAAAAACAAATCATTTCCTTCCCAGCCACCTCCCCTACCCCATGGGAACTTAGCCTCTTTATCCTCAAAGCTTCCTCATCCATCAGCTACTGCTGTCTCCAACTACAGGAGAGTTCTTTTCATTATAAAAATGTTACTAAAATACAGTCATGAAACAGGCCCTTTCCAAAGACCGGCAGGCCTCAAGTCATTCAACAGTAAGAAAGCTACAAAGGGTAGTCTTGCCTTTTGCGAGTACAGGAATGGTTATGTTAAGCAGTGGGGTCTTGACTGCCCCCCTCCCCCAACCCAACTGAATGCAGCAGCTTAGGATAGCCTTTTGTCTCATTCTGTGGAGACTGCTGGATAGAGGAGGCTGCAGAAGACTTCAGTGAAATTTAGAAGACCAAGAGGCCTAAAGAGTTCTTTAGAAAGCATTTACCCAGATTCCCTTCCCAACCACTCTGACAAAGGAGCACCTAGAGTCAATCATTAAAGGGTTTACTAGAGGTTAGAGATCCCGTAAACTGGAGAAATTCCAGTGAGTTGCACAAAACAGAAAATCAGGTCCTTGCATGCATGACAGGGAAAAACCCTCCTCTCTTCAAATGACCGTGCAGGCTGTTTCTACCAAATAATTAGATTCTCATACCACTTCCATACAGACAGGAAATACAGCATCTTAGTCTGAACTATTGGTTCTCCCTCCATCTGATGTTTGCAAGATTAGTTATGTTATTCCCATGGTAAAAAGAAAAATGGTGGGGGAAAAAGGGTGAAAAAGGAAATCATCTCTGACAAGGCAAGAAGGTTTTTCAATGAAAACACATTGGCTCTTAACAATCCATCACAATCCATGCATAACAAAAGCCTGGTGGCCTAGGAAAATTGCAGCCATTTCCCCAAGAAATAGGGGCACATGGAGGAGGGCATGGAGGAGACTGTTTGCATTGCCAGAATCAATCCACTCACAGTTCTCAAAGTAAAACTTGTGGAAGTCCATCCCCTCAACTAGGTTTCCCAGGGCTTCAGGTTCAAATGAGGTCAGGCCAGGGTCACATATTTTCCTGCAGGAAAAAAGGAATATTCCTTCTTTTTATTGAACTGAATATATGTCACCTTATCTCAAATGAGCCCCAAGCTCCAGGACCTCTTATAAACCAGTAAAGACCTAGACATGCCGTTATGTGGCTAGTACTATGTCTTTTCCCAGACGCTGCCCAAGCCTGGAATCGTTACTCACTATGAAGATACAGGGCTGGCAGTAACTGGTACATTTTTTTCTGTTTTGTGTTTCAGCCAAGTTAAGTCAAGCTTTGCATGTGACATCAAGGCTGTTCCTTCACTCTCCCTCCCTCTATGCCCTACTACTGACTTCT